AAGAGAAAAGAAATAAATAGTCTGTGTACTGCCGCTTCTCAAACCTTTCAATTCCCCTTCCCTCTCAACGGGAAAATGAATTTAACATCATTGATTTGTCTTAACGCGTACACGTAGACTAGCGCAAACACAGTTTTTACGTTAATCTTCATCGATTTATTCGGGAATAATCAAGTACTGATTTTTTTACATAAACTTTAAGAAATTTCGATTGAAGCTCATCAAGCAGATAAAATGTCTTAAGTTCATTAGTCATATTCAACTAGTGTTTTATAATACATACTGCGTTATGAGTGGTATTAAAAACTTGTTTGCATATACTTGACKGGCTAGTTTGTTTTGTCTAAAACAATTAGTCCTCTCACACCCGGCTCKCGCACTCATTACCTATAGCCCATTCGGGCCATAGATTAATCATATAGATACACCTACTTGCAAGATAGTTTTCAACAAGAATAGGACATTAGTAATTTAGTGAGAAAGGAATRCATTAAAAGACAAAAGAAAAAGTTCGGCTTCAGTGATCTTCTTTTGTTTTTTAATATAATTCCTATCCCACTAAATCATTAATGTTCTATTTTCGTATGACAAAGTTCTTGCAAGTAGGTGTATAGCTATATGCAAATGTTGTCCAAAACGCTATAAAAAAATAGCCGCTCGCTCGCCGATTTCCCCCCGTATGTGTGTGTGTGTTTATGTGTCAGGGTGAAGAGGGATGGATGGTTTGTTGAACAAACTGGATATTTTAAAAAACAAAGTTTAAAAAAATGTAAATAAGGGTGAATGGGTCGCGCTGATATTCGAAAATAAAAGTACAAATAACTTTGCTTGAAGATAACACAATGTGGTTTCTATGAACCACAAATATGCGCTAAGCTTAAGGGGATAGAAAGAAGAACAAGCTAATAAAAATAGGCGAAAGTATGATTATTTTTTTAAACGAATAAAGAGTGCTATGTTTAAGCCTATTGGTAACACGTCCTGACGAGTTTATTGACCGTATATTAGATCATTGTCAACGATGTCCTGGGAAAATTCCACTGTTTATTTAATAAAATCAATATGCTGTCTAACTGGCAATGGTTGGTCATGCAGTAAACAGTAAATCAATAAATGGCAAGCACGATGAAACACGTCTTTTCAATTCTAACGAATTCTTATGAAACGGTTGATACCACTAGACCATGCAAAAACATATTCAAAATAAAATATAAAATTTCGTAACTACATAGTTCCCAATATTAGTTCAACTCTCAAATGTTGCTCTCCTACGAAGGGAATCGGAAGGAAACGCGTCTTGACACAGGAGAGAACGAAACATCAAGCAAACTAAAAAAATTGCCTGTGGTTTTGTTAGGTCTTTCGAATCAGCGAGGCGTTCAAACCAAATTTGAACGTAACTAGAAAGGAAACAGCACTGTTTTAGCGCCGCGAAAGGATRCAAAAAGAGTGAGATTTAGCAGAACTAATATACATGTTGCATCAGATATATCAGGTATGCTTGGTTCAATAAAATAATTTTGTAATATTTTTGTAAAGCGCAAGAAATGACCAGAACAACAAACACCAAACACCAAACAAAAGGCCAAAATTGTGCTTTAAAAATAATGTACTCATAAAATCGTTCTTTGACGAGTATTATAAGCAGGAAATTAAAAGTGAAACCCGACCAGAATGAACAAAGATTTACATGTTAATGCAGAAAAGGAAGGAGTTACTTCCTCGAAGCATATTATCGAATTCGTACGCTAACCACCTAATTATGGAATAAAAAACAACCAACTATATGAGGACATACGTAGTAATCCAAAGAAGTGGCTAAGTTTGAATTTTTCGTGGCCCAGAAATTCTTTAGCCAATAAATACGAAGAAAATAATGTTGCTAAACTATTATGTATGAATTGTAGGTCCTACTATTAAGAAAGACCTTAGGAAAGCATCTGTTTCCTATTTAATTTTCAYCGGAAATCTCGAGTTCTGGGCAACCTTTTCCTTCCGGGTAACAGGAATGGCACGAAACTTGATAGTTCATATTCCCCAGAAGAAGAAAAAAAGCCAGCGAAAGACTTTCTGCAGCYTCACTTTATTTTACTGTAAATAGTCTTGAAAACCATAGATATCAATTATGCCAAAACTGAAAATAAAACATATTTAAAGATGGGTTCGTGTGGATCACTAAAATACTTAGTGAATTCAGTAAAACTCGAGTCATCGCACTGAGTTAGAACAAGAGTCTCTTAGAAGCCAAAACCAGGCTAAACCAAAATGTTTTGATTATTTTACTAGTATTCAATACATCTCTTTTTGTATTTATRCAGATTACTTTTCTTTACTTTTGCCTTCAATTTTAAGCTGGTAATAAACTTTTCGCTAAACAGTACTAAGTAATTTCAAAATAACTTATATAGGAATTCCAAGGACGAAAAACCTGAACCGACGCTCTTCGATGCCGATACCAATTGAACTATATTTCTACACATTATGACCGTATAACGGAACCTATTGCATATCTTTTGGAAAATAAGCACAATTGTTTTTAGTAAAAAGCTTTGGATTTTAATCTAACGCAATCTTCCAACTTACCAGCATCTACTTTCACCAAGTTGTCCAAGAATAATATAGCCATCAACAAGGGCAAAAAGTGCGGCATCCTAAKAATTTGTATCGCCATTACGACTGATAGAGACTCAAAGAGATCGAATCTATCCTTCCCGGTCTAATTGTTAAATTGTTTAGAATCTGTTTATATTAAGATCTTTTGTTTTATCAGCGATATGAGTCGTGCTTCGAATTCCACAGCTCCGGTCCCGTGGAAAGGTTTTCAAGAAATGAACTTGGAAATAAACAAACCACAGGAAGCCCACAGTGCCCGTCAAGTGGGTGCCCAGTAGCTAGTTCTATATCAATCATTTGGATAGATAAACGATTCTTTAAATATTGAAAAGTTTATTCAATCTTAAAGGTTCACCTGCTAGTATTTTCGTTTAATTTTAATTATTACCGATTTTTAACCAGGACCATACTTCCAGACATCGAGTGCTGAACCGTCGTATGGACTTACTGCTATGCCGGAGATTTCGACCCCGACACCGCTATCCCGGGAGGAATTACAGACTGATCAGGAAGCTCGGCAAAAGCCTAAGGGATAGGTTAGTCGGTCCCTGGACCATTCATAATCAACCTCTTGCTATGACCAGCAGCCCTGAAATACCGATCGTATCAGTGAGGACTGAGGTCCCATTGYCTATCTTTTCCATGTGGGATGATGCGTTTTCGGAGAAACCAAAAAAAACCACGAGCATTTCTTTTCAAACTGAAACGCTCTTGAATTCTTAGGATGAAAAGTGCTGAAATGCTGCGCGCATCCGCAAACTTTCTAAAGTACTTTCGTTTCATTCCAAAGATGAAAACGTAAAATGACGTCATATATAAAGACGGTAATTCCACGAAACATACCCCGGCCTTCCCTGCTAGCAGAGTCTCTTCTCTTTCTCTCCCTTCTTTTAGGCGGGGAGAAAGGAGACTGCCGATGTAGAGCGTTTCCTCTGATATACCGCCGTCCAAGATCGTGGACAAAATGGAACCAGTTTCAAAACCGGTTTTTAACCGGGTACATGTAGTGCGCATGAGCAAATGTAACACACCGTGGCGCCAAACGTTGTTTGACGAGAGCGGCTGTCAAAATCATAGTAGATAATAGATGCTCTGACTTCTTGTCCGATTATCTGAACAGCTCATGTCTATTTTTAGAATAACCCTCTACTGAAGCCATCTTCAAGATTACCTTCTTTCTCCTGGCAATTGGATAATAGGTTATGTCTATTTTTAGAAGTTCGAATGGGTCATATCCATTGTAAGAATTTTTTTCCTCAAATTTCTTCTGGTTTGATATTTTGATCTATTGATTGCCACTCCGTTTCGCCTCACTGCGACAGCCGCGTTCGATATGTAAATAATAATCGAACTTCACGCATCGGGTATATCGATCAAGGTTTGGAAACTCAATAGGACAAAGCTATTGTTTTGTCTTTGATGTTGAATCGTACCATCACTTGATACTGACCGTGCACAATGAACCAAAGCAAGTATAGCTAAAAATAAGCATTTCCTTATTATTTTCATGTATGAACATTTGAAAGTGAAAACTTTCATTGGATGACCACGTACTATGCGATTAAATATTTCCGCGCAAATACAGTTACGTTTATTAATCGTTTATTGAAAAGGAAATTGCCCTTTTTGATGCTTTCTTATTTATCATCTAGTACTACTTTTCATAACTTTATCATAACTCCCATACATTCCCTTATAAACCATACACAGGAACCTTGTTTGGGCTGCCTGCGTAATATTAAGTTAATCGTAGACATCGTACGGGTATTTTGTCTCAACCATTCATCATTCCTTTTAGCATTGCACTAAATACTTCTTAAGAGTTTAATTATCACTGAAATGTTACCACACTCACCAAAACTGTTTGATAAACCGGGAATAAATCATTCCCGATCCGGAGCGAAGAMGACTCAGTTTGAGCAATGGCAATTATAAAGTAAAATGCTACCCGTTATCAACTGCGGTTCCCTATAACGACTCTAGGAATTTTTTAATCTATGTTGCTGTATTTTTGGTGTATTTACTAAGGTTTTGACAAGTTTTATCCACAGCCAATGAGATGATATTTGATCGGGTCGGAACCCCTTCAGTCACCTCACTTGCTTTACTAGGTTGTGTTCGCTTCAATRTAGTAAAAAAATAAGGGTCATAGGCACTTTAAGCTAGTTTGAAGTTTGCCGCCTTTATTTTAACATAAGCCCACTCTTGCAKCAGCGTTAAGTAGCCTGCATGCATTCAAACACGGTCTGTGTTGGGATGCACTCAGGCTGCGACGTAATAACTACTTGGAAATAGTGAGGCCCGACTTGATTTCATTACTCATCACCCAATAAGCTAAACCCTTGTAAGAGAGGGAGGGAGGGAGCTAGCGAATGGAGAGGGAGGGAGCTAGCGAATGGAGGGAGGGAGGGAGGGAGGGAGGAAGGAAGGAAGGAAGCAAAGGGAGGAAGGATTATTTAGTGATGTAAGACAATTTTCCGGATAAAAAGAACTGGAACTTGGAGCGAGAATTACTCTGCTGTTTGAACATGCCAACCACAATCCTCTCGGATTCTGTTCAACTTGTATACATTCCAGGGACCACGTACGAAGGCGTCAAGACTTGACTAGACTCATCTTGCTGGGCTGCCTTTGTCTTTTCCTCGCAATCTTTTGATTGACTACTACCTTCCTGTACTAAACTATCACTCCCCTCACAATTCTCTTCGTCGATAGAGCTATACCGAACAGAATATAGGTTCTGTTTCACAGATGCAATGGGAGGGAGATTGGTTCCATTTGTAGAGGTTGCTGTTCCATTTTGATTATTACCATCTCCAACATCAGTTAGGGTCGTATTTTGCGCTTGTAATGATTCTGCAAAGAGCTGGAGAAAAGAAAATGAAAAGTTGCCCAGCTGTTAAAATTTTATATCAAAGGAAGCCAAGGCCAGTGAAGAAAATAAAATGCAACAAATCTACTTGGGCATAATGTTTTTTCCCCAATTCAGACCCCGTGTCACTCTCGATAATTCTCCACTTTCACGTCCCCATAATACCTTGCGTCTTTGGGGGGTAACCAATCAAAAAACTGTCCCAAATTGAAAGATTTCTTAATTGAATGTATACTATACTTACTGTACAATACTGATTATCAGTTTATTCCAAGTTATTTTTGCGTGTACAGATCATCAAGAGTTTTGGTCTTACAGAAAATGTTTAAAATTTACCTTAAACGTCTTCAAGCTTCTATCTTTTTCTGTTTTTTTACTTCTTCATTTTATTTTTGGATACCAAACAAGGTATTGTCAACATTGTCTGATCAGCCTGCAGCAAAATAAGTGGGTTTTTACCCTCTGTTTACCCCCYAAAGACGCAAAGGATTATGGGGATGTGAAAGTAGAGAATAAGATTTTTTGTTAGAGTTGTATCCATATTCATGTGTTTTCTCATGCGCAACCATTAAACAAAGAAATAATACTATAGGGAATGACACGTGGTCTTGAGAATAAGATTTTTTGTTTGAGTTGTATCCATATTCATGTGTTTTCTCATGCGCAA